CACTTTTTGTATGCAATGAATGTCTTTAACAATCAATTCAGTTTGGCCATGGTATACATTAATTTTCAAACAATGTTCCTTGGGATGCACACAGTTACATGTATTCATGTTTTGTTCAAATTGGACAGGCAAGTATACAATATATATTCTGATATTTGTTTTGAAAATTTAATTCGTACATGTACTTTGAGTATTAAATTTAAATTACATTCAAGTATTTAATAAAGTTATCAGCTAGCAACATTACAGACACTATGAATTAAAATTTTTTTTACCCTTTCTTGTAGAAAAGCGATGCCTTTTTTAATGCAAATTTAAATGTGCACATCATTGAAAATATATAAACTTGTAAATGTATCAAAATAAATTTCAAGCTAGTTTACATCTGACATTTGGCAGACTGTTCTTCTTAACTAATTGTTATAACTTGTCTGTATACATATCTAATGAGGTATAAAATTTTATAACAAAGCACAAAGATTGAGAGAAAAATGTGAAGTGATTTAATTAAGCTTCATTTTAAATAAAATGCTACCCAAAGCCCTTGATCAAAAATATATCTAATGCATATAAATACAGACACATATAAAGTTTAAGCACAAAATCTGACCAAAAAAAAAAAAACAAACAACACACACAAACAAACAAACAAGAGAAAACAAAAAACAATATGTCCTCCCTGAAGGGGAGACAAAATACAGTTTGATAAGAACTACAGTACATGATCAAAAGATTGGTCAGGAGTACAGTTTATGTCCTAAAGTTCTGTCCATTCTCAGTGGGAGTGTGCTGGAGAGTGCAGATATTTCCCAGTATAGGCTTCTGGAGAAGAACAATTTGTACAACATGCCGACGGCACAGCACTGACATAAGACCACCCCCATTGTGATAAGCTGGAACAGAAAAAAAAATCACATGATCTGACAATATACAATGTTTAAATGTATACCAGGATAGTTAAAATGCTTTTAACATTTGATTAAGTTCATTTTTGTCATTGCATGATGGGTCATCCTGTGAACAAATTTAAGGTTTTAAGCTCAGGTGAAATTCAGAAAACTTGAAGAAAAACAAGCCCAAGTTCACAAAGGGCCATAATTCTGTATATTGGACTTCAAAGTAATTCTGGCAATATACGTTTAATCAAATATTAAAATATATAAAGGCCAAGACATTTGAAATTATTGATACAAATAAAAATCTGTGGATCAAACTTTAATCATAATAATTAATTTAAGCATCTAAATCAGGGAATTTATGAAAATTTAAAATCCTAAATAAGTTACTCTTATATACGATGCTTCAATGAATCAAAATGTTTACAAAATAATCATTTGTGGGGATGTAAATTCGTGGGTAAGGGTGACCCACGAAATTGACGAACATTGGATCCCCACGAACAATAATGATTCTACAGTACCAGCTTATTGTAAAAGATCAACATACCTTATAACGAAGATATTCATAGAATATCCAGGATAGGACAACTAAAAGTGGATAGCATAAAAACCAAAGCATACAGCTCTGAAAAATAAAAAAAAATGTTCAATATTAAGTACGTATAAATACGCGCGGTACTATACTGAAGTGTGAATAGTAAATCTAATAATATTTCAATGCTGTATTGATGATTACATGTGATATGTCATCAACGATGGTGATCGATATGTATATTTAGAGTTTGTGAAATAAATCAAAAGTAACAGGGATAAAAACCCCACCAAAACTCACTGAAAGCCCATATAAAAAAAAGTATATTTGTATATTTGTAATGCTAAAACACATGCAGCATATAAACCTTATTAGTTATCATATTTAAAAAAAGTTTTTATCATTAAAAAGTTTTATATTACAGGCATAGGTACCTTAGTAAATGATTTATAGAATTCTCGTCTTAAAGCACTGCGCTCTGAAGACACAGTTACATTAAGATTCCAAGCAAACAAGGCTGCCAGCAGGATCCGTAAAATGACTAGGGCTATTCCTGCAAAGCTACGATGTGCGTGGTACATCCTATGATCACTGTCTTGAATCTGCTCCCACACAAACAATACAGCCTACAAACAAATACAATGATATATACTCTTCAAAAAAAGAAACGCATCGTAGAATTTTAGCGACACATTGAACATAAAGATTATTTAGTAAAATGATGCATTGATAAAACAGAAATGTGGTAAGCAACAGGAATACTATCTAAATGTCATAATTACTCAACAATTTTAAAATTATAGTTAGTTTAAGACCATTAAAGATCAATATCTGGTATGCCCCCCGCAGACACAAATGATAGCCACAAACGACATCTAATGGAAGCAAACGTGTGTAATAAAACCTGTATAGAAATGCTTTCCCACTCCAAATGTAGAACTTAAGTCAGCTGTTGCAGAGTCTGGGGATGCGAGTGTCTTTGGCAAATCATATCAATCCATTTTGTCCAATGCTGTTTAATTTGGATTAAATCTAGCGATTTAGATGACTGTGACTGAAACAGGTTGTTGTTTCTTTGCAAGAATAGGTGTATCAAACGAGCCATATGTGGCTGTGTATTGTCAGATTGTAATACGGCTCTAGGATGCTGCAAAATTGAATGGGTATGTGGAGGTAGAACATGGTTAGAGTACATTTTTCCATCAAACTCCATTGAATTTGAACCAAATCAATCTTACTAACTTATAACACCATTTTCCATATCATTACACTACCACCACCAACTTTTTTAACGTCCAGGAGGCAGTTATCTATCTAATCTTCATTAAAAAGCATTAGCACTCTCAAACTTGTAAGAGGCTTTCAGATAAACATTCTGGACCAGTAGGTTCACCAAAATGTTCAACAGTGATGCTGTGGTCATACTCTATTCATCTGAGATCTTTGAAGTCGATGTTTGTGGTGTTGTGGGGTTGAAAAATTGCATGAATAATCCTGTTGCAATAATTCATAGTCAACTGAAAACGGTCTTGTGAGATGATCTGTGCAGTTCAGGGATAGCTAATGCTTTAGATGACGTCCTTGCATTACATTCATGCAATTTGCGTTATCCTTGGAAGTGATGCTGTGCTGCTGATGTCACACGTAGTCTACCATATTTTTTGCGAACATTGGGTGTTCAATGTTAATGGTTTATGTTTTATAGGTTAGATATAGTCTGTGTGTAACATTAAAACCTCTTGCAATTGTAGATTGCGGTACCCCTGCTTCCAGTCGCCCATTTTCCTTTTTGTGCCACGCAACATTCAGATGCAGCAATTTTAGGAAGCGTCATTTTTCAGATAAAACCAGATTCAAAATATCGAGAACCCCCGCTTTTGATAGCCCCTTTGTACCTGAAGGAATTGCATCGGAATTCAACAAATGAAATTTGAGATCAAAATTTTGGGGGAAATTTTGCAAAATTACGTCTCTTTGTCTGTGAGACTTGTAGAATAACTGTAAAGTTAACAATTGCATTAAAAAATCATTCATTTCACTCAAATACATCGTATCCATACAAAAATAAAAAGGTATGACAAAACTGTCACAAATTTTCAGGGCATTGTTCCTTCTATGCGTTTCTTTTTTTGAAGAGTATATAAACAAACATAAACAAAACAGCCTACAAACAAATACAATGATAAAACAAATACAAACAAAACAGCCTACAAACAAATACAATGATAAAACAAATACAAACAAAACAGCCTATAAATAAATACAATTTTTCTAAGTCCAAGGGGCATAACTCTGACAAAAAGGGTGGGATCATACCCAAAACAGAACTTGACCTAGATATTTAGCTGAAAAATCTGTATACTAAATTCCATTGCAATATGTGCAACCTCTGCAAAGAAAATGAACGGAAACTGCATATAAGTGGAATTTTTCTAAGTCCAAGGGGCATAACTGTGTCAAAAATGGTGCGATCATACCCAAAACAGAACTTGACCTAGATATTCACCTGATAGACCTGTATACCAAATTTCATTTCAGCATGTGCAACGGTTGTGAAGAAAATGAACGGAAACTAAATGAACCGACAGACCGACATACCGACCGACCGACAGACAGCAGCAAAGCAATATGCTCTCCCTTCTTCGAAGGGGGGCATAACAACAAACAAACAAATACAATGATATACCAACAAAGGAACAAAACTGCCTACAAACAAATACAATGATACATGTATATACACATGATTTAAACAATCTACAAATACAATAATATACCAACACACAAACAAAACAACCTACAAATACAATGAGATACCAAACACAAACAAAATGGCCAACAAACAAATACAAAAATTTACCAACACATGAAGAAATAGCTTACAAACAATTTACAAACACAATGATAGACTTAAATGTACCAACACATGTACAATGATAACAAGTACATGAAGAAAAACAGCCCATAAACCTGAATAACAATATTTAATTGAACAGCTAGTTTACAGTTTACAGTTTATATTAATAAATGTAAAACCACACCTTTTTGTTTGGTCAATTAGATTTGTTGGAAAATTAGTGGTTCTACTATGGATTTTTATTTTCAATGTGGTTGAAAATGTGCTGAGTTAGATCACACATTTGAAATGTCACAATTCAGATGGTCTTGAATTGGTAGGTCTCAACATACCAAGGAAATTAAACCCACAGAAATATTTACCAAATTATAACGTGCATGTAGATGACTGAGATTTTCATGTATAATTTACGTTTTCCTTCAAGTTCATGTTCCGGAACCACTAAAAACTTTTCTATCATGACTTTAATTAAATTAAGGCTATTTTTCCATTCATGTTAAATATATGTACAAAACAACATGACAGTCATGTGCAGTAAACACTCACCTGAACTATTCCCAGTACGCCTACAACTTTAGCGGCCGGTTTACGACTGACCATCTGCAGGTGTGCAAATCTATAGGAGGTGCCCAATGTCCAGCCGAGACTGAGGCTCAGGAGCATGTACAGCATAGCAAACTGGGACAGCACATCAAAGACTGAAAAAATAGGTCAGAAGCATGTACTGTACAGCAAACTGGGACAACACATCAATCTGATTAAAATCAGATCCTTTGTTCCACTCACTTACATCACTACACAAGGATCTGAAGAAACCCCATTCAGGGTCATCTCCTGGTGACCTTTCTAAAGAAAAATATTCATTAAAATTTTGACCAATTAGAGAGATCATATTTAAACGACGTTCGGGAAAATGAATGTAGAAGTGCAAAAAGTAACTGTGGAGAAGAGATTATTGTTTTGTACCAAACAAAGAGCTTAAAACCAAGACAAAAGCAAGTAATTATTATATTTTTGTACAGAAAAGACTGTATTCATTCTCTTGTCAGGCTACAGCAACTAGGTCACAGTTTTCCATTCGTATGACATCGGCACTTTTAATTCTGTACTGAATGCTGAAATACTTCTCAATACTTGGAAGTGAACGTTTGATTGGATATTTGAATGGTCACCAGGAGATGACCTTGAATGGGTTTCTTCAGATCCTGTTGTAGCAATCTATGTGAGCGGATCAAAGGATCTGATTTTAATCAGATTGAACAACACATCAAAGACAGAAAATATAGAAAAGAAGCATATACAGTATAGTAACTGGGAAAACACATTAATGATTAAAAAAAGTAACTTTTGTACCCTTTAGGGATTATGTTATTAGTGTAGAAAGGAGGGGAGACTACATAGTTCTTAGCACTATATGTTAAATTTAGATAAAATATTTATATTGAAGCAGAAAGTTTTCTCTAAAGTGGCTTACATTCAGCAAAGAACTCAATGGCTGCAGATCCCATTCCATCCTTGGAATATCTAAAATAAGAAAAAAGAATTTCTGTTCATAAACATAATAAATATCCATAATTACCTTGCATTATTTCACAACACTTTGAATCTTGTAATTCTACACAATTTTTTCAGAACCATTTTTCAAGTTAGGAACTTGTTGGCACACATATTGATTAACTGAGATTCTATATATTTCACATGCAATAATTTATAAAGATGACTCTAACAGGTAATCTAAATATTACAGATTCTAGATAGGCTACAATATTACATATCTATAAATCTTGAACTTTCATTTTGAACTTTGTTCAAATGACTCCTCAAAACACCCAGTCCTATTTAAAATCAATCCTTCAGAAGCCCCTTTTTATTTTGATTTGTCATGCAGCAATCAAAATAAAGGACTAATGTTTGATTTTAATCAGACTGCAAAACAGCATGGTTGTTTCCTCTTTAACTTTGGAATTTTTCTTTTTATGTAATACATGTACATGTACAAAGCATATAGGTTGAAAGACACCTACATGTATTTTTCTGTATCATATTGAAGTTTCACTATACATGTACATGTAGATTATGGAGATCACTATAAGACAGTCACATAATAAAACCTGGCTCAAATAAAATAATATTAAACTAAATCTGTCCTAAACACCTAATGATGTATGAAGAACATGTAAACTAATACCTGGCCAGGTGTATCATCATGATAAAGGTCCCTGTGGCCTGTAGACAAGTTGAGACAGTAAGAAGTATGATCACAAGCTGCATGGGTCCCCCCTTACTCAGAGTCTCGTAGAGTCGAGGAGCAAAGATACAGCCTAGTACAAAGTATGCCAGGGTCAGCAACTGATAGAACCGCAGCAGACCTGTGGAAACAAATGATCAATTATTCATTTTTATCAGACATAGAAAGTATATCTGTGAACAAAGAATTTTTATCATTATTTTGAAGAAAAATTGAAAATTAAAATTAAAAAAAAACACCTCCCTCATCTACTTTATTGCCAATAAAATGCCTCCCTCCAGCATCTGTTTCAGAGAAAATTAGCCTGAGAACCAGAGAATTAAATTTATGTAGCCTGATTACTATAGGCCTTCGGCATCGGGTGACATAACACTCCAGGGCTTTCCTGTCACCTCGGGGCAAATATTCTGGTATGTCACCTTCGAAGCCATGTGATATATGTTATATGACATTTTTAAAACTAAAAAAAAAAATTAAATCATTTAAAATCGTTGAAATTTTCACAAATAATCCAGAAATGCTTTCTTGACGTTAAGAATAACGCTTCGTTGTTTACATTTGCTTAGCAACTGACGTCATAACATCTCGAACCCAAGCTAAAATGCGTAACGTAACAACACCTGAACGTGATCGAAAGGATGACATAACTGTTTCCGGCGAGGGTTGACATAACTGTTTCTGGCCGGACATAACTATTTCCGGTGTGACTCAGCATTTTTCAGGGTTTATAGCGAAACTTATTACATTTGTGATATAATAGGAAAACTTATTCAAAAATGTTATATACACATGTGATACATGTAGACCACGTTCTTGAAAAAAATATTGAAAGAATGTTAATGTTATGTTTCAGTTCTGTAAAGTGTAAGAATAAACAAAATACACTGTAATGTCTGGCCATCTTTCAAAATCAACATTTGAACTCCATCCCTTGTATCTCCTGGCTAGAACTTATCATCATTAATTCTAATTATCATAGTATACTGATGATAAGGTACATGTACAATGTAAAAACATTTGTTTATCATCATGAAGATGTAGTTTTTAAAAGTTTCCAACTATCCCTACTATTATTGAGAACGTGCATCCAACAAAAAAATATTGTTTAAGAGAAGAATTTTAAAAAACCCTTAAAAGCTATCTTGTGAATTTGAGGAAAAAAAATCTCCTCAAAATGCAATAGATTGGACATTTTATGAGTCTTAAGAAAACATATAAAATTTAAAGCCCCAATCATCTTTGGATACCCATGGGTGATCTTGTTTTTTACTCATCAAAAGACGAGCTAAGTGGGTATCTGACGATGAGTCCCAATTTGAACACGTTGAATTTGGCCAACTTGAAGTAAAATTCTGTCTACTCAAAGGAAAAAAAACTCTCTTCAGATATTCTTTAACCTTTGCCTCCAGCTGGTATAATTATAGAGTCATATAGAAGCAGATTTTACCGGTTTCGTCATCTCCAAAGTGTTCGGTTGGATTTCCCAGACTGTCTGGATTTAACAACTGGATTCTGAACTTGAACGAACTGGAATCCGAGTCCTCGTTTGAGTCTGTATCCAGACACGTTAACTGGTCCCCATACATGACATGATACAAGTGTGGATTGGTTGGGGCAGTTACACTTAGGTTTCCTGTTGTATTTCTCAACTCGACTGTAAAATATATGAAATTTGTCATTTACAAATAAATGTTTTAGAAAGGAATTTTACATTAAGAAGCTTTATGTGTTCATCATTTCACTTAAACTGTTCATATAGAAAACTAGCTGCAATCTTAATTTTAATTTGGACAGTCAGAAAGTTTTTATAGAATATGTTACATGTAAATGAGGCTCGGCTGATTTTTTCTGAACAGTCTTCCTCCTCGAGATCTTCCAAGTCCTGTTTTGTGAACAGTAACAACTGGGGTTTATACTCCTCTAACTGCCCCTCTCCAACCTCCAGGGTGTAATTTATCAAGGCATTCCCTTAAAAAAAAGACAACGAAATGCAAGCAAAATTCTCTGATATTTTTTTAAAATTTTGTATTAATTTAGTTAAAGTCATTTAAATCATCTATTTATGGAAGATGTGATAATTTTGCTGTTACATGTACATAGTTTACAGGTCTATTTATAGACACTAACACTTACTGAGACTGACAAAATGAAGAGTCAACTGTAAACTTAATTAATTGAATTATCTATTCTTATACCAATTACAGTACTGTTCCTACTGTAGATCAAAAAAATTCACAACACCATATTTTAGTAATACCATATAACACTGTATAATGAATTTATATAATAGGAGACAAAATGTTCATGAATTCTGGGTATTAATTAAAAGGACGTCCACAGCAAAAAGTAGAAGCGACGACAGCTATATCCATTTCAGCTCGTATTAATCAAAACAAGTGGTCAAAGTCTGGGCGCTAGTTCCAAAATGAGATTTTGAGACATTGGTCTGAGATTCATAGAGACATTGGTACCAGACCATGATAATTTTTTGTCTCGGTCTATAAATCTCGCCATGGCATTATAAAGAAGCAGAAGGGAAACCAAGACCAGGGTTCCTAACCTAATGGGGGTTTGGTGGGAATATCTGAATAACTGGGGGTATATGTCATTGTAGGTGTAGAAATTCTCTGACCATTTATTATTTTAAGGACAATCCATACACATGATACAGTTGTAACAGGAAAGGAGAAAATGCATGGCTGGACCGGGAATCGAACCCGGGACCCCTGTATCTCCAGTCAGGTGCTCTACCAACTGAGCTATCCAGGCCGATATCCACAGCCCTAACCATTACATTCCTCCCTCCTTAAATGGTCTTCGCCCTCGAAGACACAACCCAAGTTCTTATTGCCCCTGGCAGGACTTTCACCTGCAATTCCAGGGGTGGTCAACGGCACCAAATCTGTAACAGGAAAGGCTGGACCGGGAATCGAACCCGGGACCCCTGTATCTCCAGTCAGGTGCTCTACCAACTGAGCTATCCAGGCCGATATCCACAGCCCTAACCATTACACAGTAACAAGATTTAAATATGTCTATTTTTTCAGGGGAAACAAATGATATCACACCAAAATAATATTTACCGTGAAAACAAAACGTTGTGACGTACTGCCCCCATCCTTTCTGAGCAGATACTGAAGAAAATGCCCCCGCTACTGTCTTAGCTTGACATTTATAACTGTCATAGTCTGATATTTGATAAAGAATAAAAATACATAAGAAAATTCTCATTTTCTTTCCTGAAGTTGTGATACATCTTGGTCTCATTTCATGTTTGCGTCTATACCCTTTCTGAATCAGAACAGTCCACTGGGGTTTTCTATTTTCGATATCCAGCTGTGAAATGTAAACCGGCGTCTGCCTTCGACAGCCCAACGTGGACAGTTTACATTTTTGGTGGCCCATGTTGTCGTAAAATTTTATTTTCATTTCTATCATAGAAATAAATTAAAAGCTCATATATGTTTATTACCGTTCAGAATGTACATATTTTACAAAAATATTACATTTTGGTTAATTATTTAAGACAAATAAGGAAATGGTTTATTGATTACGACATCAAAACTGGAAGGTAACGGTATGTTTCGCGCCGATGCATGGTTCGCACCGCGATGTTTCGCGCCAATTCTGTTTCGCGCTAAGATGATTCGCCCCACGGTGTTTCAATCGAAGTTCCTCGGATGACTCGTACCTTGAATGGAGCGAAACGGAGTCAGCCGAGGATTGCCGATTGACTGTGTTTCGCTCCCAGAACATGAAATGTGTATTACTTAGCAGCACCGTAACTATGCAGTTTTCTGTTGTTGGTACCTAACTACATTGTACTGTGATCTAGTGACTTCACTAGATCTACCCGATCTCTGAGTCACTCTCTCTGTTGATTACCTGTCTATTGTGTGCGTTCAAGCGGAAAGTGTTTTCCTGTTACGTAGTTGATACATATATTTCACAGTTGTACAAACAAAGAGTTCATGTTAGAGTCTTATCAATGCAACAAAATGATAAACAAGTTGCTGTCCTTTAAAAAAAGGACTACAATACGTAGACCATATGCATTTGTGTGTGTATTTGTGCAGGGGAGTTGGGGGGGGGGGGGGGGTGAACAATTCTTGTTGATCAGCTTTTCAATTATTCATATGACTCTTCTACTTCTTAACGAGAGGCCCAAAACTCCTGAAAGGGGGATCTGAGGTTATTTCTTGATTGATTTACTATATAAAAAATTCATTAATGAAAATCTGAAGGGGTCGATCCTGGCCTCTATAACCCGGCCCCAACCCCCTCCTACCGAATCTGCCAGTAACACTACAGAAAAGGCTTTTAAAAAATAATGTTAAAATCGAAAATTATTCAGGATTGTTGGGAGTTTTTACTAGAGTATACCCCTGTTAATACATTATTATTTACAAACAGTCTTAAAGACAGACATGAAATTTATTTATAAACATTTCCGGAAGGAGGCATTCATCATCATCATCGTCCTTTACACCCTATGGTGTGTAGGGCAGCAACAAATTAAAACTTCCTCCACTCTTGTCTATCCTGGCCCCAAGACCATAAACTGAGAATAGCCGCGTCAATGATCCTCAAGTCTGGTGCATTGCTGGACGTATTAGGGAAGTGATTAAGAGTCAAAATCAGCAAGCATCGAGCATTGAATGGAAAGTCAAAATTTTATTTTTTCAAAAGCTTTTGGTATATGAAAGATTTTGTCTTACCTAATGCTAAAACACAATTAAAATTTTTTTTCGAACGTATGAAGGGACTGGTATCCAAGGAAATTCATTTCCTTAGCAACGGGTTCATAAATCCTTATGAAAATCAATGATTTTTAGACATTTTTCTACGAATATTTTTTCTGAACGTGATAAGATAAGGTATTTTGGTTACTTTATTTGTTAAAAGATGGAATTACTCTATTCTCCAAAAATAGGAAAAACAAAATTTCTGTAGTGATATTGTTGCCATGACAACGGGAAAAGAACATGGCGTCAATGCTTATTAATTTTGAAAAAAATTACATATGTTTATCACTTTATTCACAAAATCTACAACCACTGCTGGAAAAATGAATGGTATGATTTTGCTAGGGGTTATCTATATGTCATATCTATACAATAAAATTTGCAGGCAACTTTAGCAGAAAAAAGTTACAAATGGTTAAAATGTGTGAAAATCTGGCATTTATAAGCTTTTTTGAAGGGGTGGGGGTAATTTGACTACATGTTCTGTGTCCATTATATTGGCCATATTGGTTCTGATCAAAGCATACTCATAACTTTACTATTGTTAATAAATAAATGCACATTCAATTTCAAAAGGAATTTTATATTCCTCACAAACGAAACTTGGAAAAGGAGGGGGGGGGGATAGGAATCACCTTGTTCACCGATCCATATGTATGTTAAATTTTGACTTGTCCATAACATTTCAATGAAGTGCCACTGAAAGTTCATACTTGATATTAAGATTGCTTGCGATCGAGAGATGTGTCAAAAACTTGACTCAAGGTCATTTGAACAAGTTCAAGGTCACTGGTAGAAGAAAAGTGCAACCTTTGCCCATTCTGTAACATTCTAATGAAAAGACTTGGTTTCATCTTGGGAATTATTTTTAAGCTGTAGGTTTGTCATTACCTTGACCAAAATTCATTTGAACATGTTTGCCCTTGACTCAAAGACATAGCTTTTTCAAGTTCACTGCAGTAAAAGTGTACTATATGAGTTTGGCACATTTACATATTTAACTTCGAATGAAGGGAAATTGGAAGTTTGTGCTAAACACAACGGTTTTACTACCTATGACTTGAGTATGTGTCAAAGTCATTTTTGGTATGTATATCTGCACTAGCAAAATTTTAAAAGGTTTCAAATTAGTATTTAGACCTTTTTTGTAATAAAAATCATTTAATGCAATAGCAGGAGGGTTAGTATCATTTTATTAGCTTGCTCACAATAATTCTTGTTCATGAAAGAGAGTCACTATGACCGCTCACATAATTATAAAGTAAAACCATGTCAATCTGGCATGTAGCATCAGGTTTGGGTTGGGTAGGGGGGATGACATCCCCCACCCAACTTTTTTCTCAACGTACCCTAATATTTAACCACACACACACCCTCCCGAGTTTGTCCGTTTGTCCTTCCGTCCGTCCGTCTTTCTGTCTGTCTGGAACGCTTTCGTTTCCACACGATATCTCGAGAACCCTCTGAGCTTTTGCAATGAAATTTACCATAGCAACAGTTACTCCCTATGGACCAAAGAAGAACCCTATTGATTATGTGATCAAAAAGTCAAAGGTCAAGGTCATAAATAAACAAATTCTGTCTGTTATAACACTTTCCTTTCCACACAGTATCTCTAGAAGCATTTGAGCTATTGCAATGAAATTTTACATAACAACTCCCCGTGGCCTTATGAAGACCCTTATTGATTTTGAGGTCAAAAGGTCAAAGTTAAAGGTCGTAAATTTATACATTCTCTCTGTGTGTAATACTATCATTTCCGGGCGATATTTCAAGAAGATTTTGAGCTTATGCAATGTATTTTATACCAAAACTCCCTAGGACCTCTCTCAAAGTGTCCCGCCCCGTTTGTTTTATTAGTATTTATAGTATTACATGTCGCTATTTTTAGCACAGGGGCACGAGGAGAGTTATTGCGTATAAAACAGGTTCTCGGCAGAATTTGTATTCCTATCACATCTACCAGAACTGTTTAATAAAGGTTGAATTAGACACCATGTTTTGTGTAAATTTTTGACGATATCAAACGTGAATATATACATGTATGTGACTTCATATTTGCATATAATTGTCAAAATTGTACAGCAGTTCCATGGCGCAGTGGTATGTCTCCCGCTTCACATGCGAGAGGTCACGGGCTCGATTCTCGGACGATCATTTTTTTCTTTTCCGAAATTTTTTTTTACTAAATGATAGTATTCAGCATGTGAAATGAAAAAAAATTTTGAGGTCTAGCTTGTACAAACTCATAAAATCATCATTACGTTGTGATAAATAATCCCCATAAAAAGAATCTTCTATACACATAATCAAATCATTATATCAATATTGACATATTTTATTTGCTTCAGTATACATGTATACATTTAAAAATTCTACAAATTCAATAAGGGGGATCCGACCCCCCATCCCCACCCCCGCCCCGAACTGCGCATGGTTTACTTTTTCCCTAAGTGGGGGACACAAATTCTCTGAATTAGCTTGTTAGATTTACATCAATAAAAAAATGGTAACAGACAAACAAAGAATGTTACTTTTGGATTGAACATTTTTATTTGATCCACTTTCATGTATACACTGTGCAATTTATGGATCTATTTTCTGGATCCCTGAGTCTCCGGTAACACTATCCACTCACTTCCAGCATCAATGGTCTGTACTGTAATGATGTATTCTCATAATGATAATCTGAAAAAGTGATAAAATTAAAATGTAATAATATTATACAGCTTTGCTTTCAGATACTTACTAAGAACCATTTCTAGTTGAGCTTGAGCAATGATGATGAATGCAAAGCATGTTTATTGGAATCAATTAAATTCCAAGAGATCTCAATGGTTTAGTTTATCATTTTATTTTAAAAAGTTAACGTTTTTACTAAATGTATTATTTACACGTTTTTCCTGTCTAATTCTATATCAGCTCATCCAATTCTGTTTCTGCTTCTTTCCGAGTTTGGATTCAAAGTGGCGAATTTCATTCTAAAAACAGAAGTATACAACACAAAGTTGAGACGGTATTGATTTTAGATATTCTTTAAATTTATAAACTTGTAATAAAAGGTCAATTGGTTCTAGGTTTTGTCAAAACTCTAAATTGTGCGTTTCTTTCCAATACCCCCCCCCCCCCCCCCAAGAAAAAATAGAGTATAGAAATTCTTTTCAAAAATTTATGTGCTGTAATTCTAATGATGCTTATTATTTGAACCTAGTTGACTTAAATTAGTTCAGTGGTACCGGTGAAAATGTTAGCTGAATATGAATTTTCTTTCATAAGTAAACACTGGATGACATCAGCAAAAACCTTTTTTTTAATTTATTATTTAACTGTGGTATATATACAATTCAGTTACCACTAGTCCACTACATTATATACTTGTCTGTATCACAATACTACAAGGGTAACCCCCTTTCCTAAACTAAAATATATTAAGTACAGAGTTAAACCCCTGCCCCTTTTTCTTTTTTTACGACGTCATAACAAAAGTCATTCCATTTTACAAATATTTCATAAAAGTGTTGATTTTCATAAATTCATAATTTTTTTATGTAAAAAGCAGGTATTATCTTAAATGGTAAATAAAGATATCTATTACTATATAGAGAATTTTTATTTACCCGACCATCACTCAAGTTATAATCATTATAGCTGG